TTCCTGCCCCACCTCTGCTGACTGTGGATGGGAGCCTGCAGGTGAGGTTTCTAATCAGGGTGTGCTATCCTATAGGTTTGGTGACGTAGAGAGAGTTCCTTTGGGATTCCAGCAGCTAAGTCCACCAGAGCCTTGGAAGTGCAGCTCGGGACACCTGAGTTGCTGACAGCCTGAAGAAAGCTTTGACTGTCAACGAGGAGCTCTGGTTTCTGCAACCAAGTTAGGCGTGGCCAGCAGAATGAGGGTCCCGTGCTGCTGGTGAAGGTGAAGGCTGCCCCAGTTAGGGCTGAACTGTGTCCTTCTTAGACACCATAGCTGTTCTCTGGTCTCATCAGCTCCAGATGGAGCGTGTCCCAGGGACCACACAGAGCTTTGTTTGAATGCTGGCATCAGCAGCAGGACGGGGATCCCATTGAATCATCATCTCCTGTCACAAAGCCAGGAGTTGTTCCGAATGAAAACAGTTTTTCTCAAAGAGGCTAAATCCCTCGTACTAATTAGTAGCGGTGGTGGTAGTGGGGGCTGTGTGTGTGGTGATGGTGCTGTTCATCCTGCCTCCACTCTTTTAAAACAGAGGCAGTCTTTTTATTTGCTGCCTGAGCCATAGGGTGAGTAACCTTGACCTCCAAGCCCCTTAATTGGGGTCACATGTGTGTGAGTCCTGCAGAAATTGTGGAATGCTTCTCCCCCTTTTGGGCCAGACATTTAGAATGAAAAGATTAGAGAGTGGTGGTAACAAGGTCATTATCACTACAGACAATGTAGCATTTATGTGCGGGGCTAACTCACAAGGGCAAGTTGGATGTTCTATCACGGATCACTGGGGGTGTTCTTTATACACAAAGGATGCAACTGCTAAAAATAGCCCTTGCGTCTTGTTAATTTCTCTTTTCCAATTTTTGCCTATTCATACTCAAAAACGACAGACTCAGCTTGTTCAGACTTCCCAAAGATTAAAGAACATTATCTATTTGATTTCTAAATACGCACATGTCCTTTCTAAAAGGACAGTAATACATATTCCACCTACTTGGATGATGGCGTTCATCCATCAGTAGATACTTAAGGAACACCTGTTTTGGGCCAGGCCCTGTGCTAGGTGCTAAGGGACTGTCGATACATGAAAAAGACAAGGGCAAGAGCATGGAGATGCTAAACTAAGAAGCGACACCCCCCCCCCCCAAGTCCCTGAAGGAGTTGCCTTTGCTACATGCGTCTTCCTGGCTTCTGGTCCCGTGCTCTGACCACAACCCTTCACCATTAGACCACACTTCCCCAAATAAATAACTACTTCTGCATGCCGGGGATGGGTTGTGTGTGGCAGCATTTACGTAGGCGGCATAGACGGCAGCCTTTCACTTAATGTTGCAATAAGGCCAAGCTGAACCATGCGCACTGAATTCCAGAGGTGCTGAACACATGGTCAATGTGGGTCAGGTCTCTTAGTTCAGGTGCCAGAGACTGCAAAGTTGGGCAAGTCCCTATCTGATAAGGAACCACTGCTGAGGAGAAATAAAATTGCTTGCAGCTTGGGCTAGAAATCAGATCTGCGGTTCTACCCTCCTTTCCACTTTTGGATGTCCAAAGAGGAGGAAGGAACTCAGCACCCAGATCACAAACTACGTGAGTGTGGGTTTTGTACGCTCAGCCTTGAACAGAACGTGGAACCGCTGCCCTGCTGGACGGCAGCACTGTGCTCACAGAGGCACATGCGCATCTGTCTCAAAGTCACCCCTGACCTTTGCAGATGGCCAAGATAATTCCACATTTCTCTTTATTTTAAGGCTACATCATGTGAGCTCCTCATGAAAGATGTGATTTTACAGTCCTGAAATAGATACCAGGAGTAGATTGTGATGTGTGAGAGTATGTCAGAGTGATCACAGGTTCAGATGGTAGAGGAAGCTTGTGATGGAATCATCTGATACGACTGTTTGGCATGGAGCACTTGCTTCCCTAGATGCTCCGGCGTGTCAGTCTTTATCATGCTGTTTCGCAGAAGACAGAGGTCCCAGCTCCCATCTCTGTACTGCAGTCACTTCCCGGATACCTGTCTTCACACCCCCTTCTGTGCTCCGCAGCACCCTGTTCTCCACTCTGTCAAACCATGTACTGCTGCCCTGCCATTCTTTACAGATTTTTGGCCTTCTCCAGGAGGCTGGGATCTCTCTGAGGGCAGAAATAGGTCCACCTTGTTCATTTCAGTGAGTGCCAGCCCTGGCACCGGGCCCCGCCACAGGTGGCTCTCAATAGTTCTGTGTTCAATAAATAAATGAATGAATATATTCATGGATGGATTCATGATCCAGTTCCCAGAGGATGATTTATTGTCTCTGACTCTCTGGTCATAACGGTGCCAGGAAGGAAAAAGTTAAGCTATCCAGAGGCGACATGTTTATCCAAGGACCCTTTTCCCTTTTTTATTGGCACAGGCAGGATAAGTCACGTATGAGATAAATCCTGGATATAAAATTTTGACACATCCTTTTGGTGTTGGCCTGAGCGGATTCAAGAGTCTGGAGGGGAAGTAAATGAAATCATTCTAGGCTTTCCCTGAAAAGGCCCCACGAGATCCAGTTATGAGTGGAATGCAAGGCCAGACCCAGGAATCCAAAGCTTGACCTACTTTGTCCAACGCTAATGAGAGAGAGACATGGAGCTGCCTTCATCAACTTTTCGGGAAATTAAGTAATCCAAGATAGTGATCTAGCCTGACTAGATGATTTAGGAGAACCGAAGGCCCGCAGAATTACTTTAGGATTCAGAGCAGCTTGCTCCAAGAAGTCTGTCTGTTTTATGTGTTGTTGGTTGTTTTTTCCCCCCACTTTTCTCTCCCATTTTTGCAGGGAGGAGAAATAAAGCGCCTAAATTCCCACCAACACAAACCAGTGACATAGAATGATGAAATTCTGTTCTCACCTCCGCCGGTGACAGGGAATGCAAAAAATAGCAAGTGGCCCAGTTCCACGGATCCCCGCCTCCCCGCTGCCCTCCCTGATCCCGCCGGGCTCGCATCTCTAAGAATGGAGGTTAGCGCACCGCCGCGCGCGAGCCGCGCTCAGCCCACGGGCCGGGAGGGTGATGTCAGGCGGCGGCGGGAGCGGCGGCGGCGGCGGGGCCAGGCAGGCCGAGGCCCCGGGCAGGGGAGCGAGGAGGGAGGGCGGCCCCGCCTGGACGGCGGCGCACCCGGCTGGTCGAGCGGCGTCGCCTGGAGACGGCCCTGGCGGCGCAGTGTTGCTGTAAACAGCAGCTTCCCTGTTACTATCTATAGCAGGATCGCCCGGCTCCGGGTGCGGCGGCGGGAGGCCGGCGGCCGCCCCACTCCCAGTTCGTCCTGCAGGACCCGCCCCTGCCAGCCCCGCCCGCCACCTCTCAGGTGCCCACCGTGACTCCCTGACCCCGAGAAGGTGGGGGCGGATGGGGGAAAGGGCAGACAAAGGGCTTCCCCCCTGGAGGTGGCCGGTCCTGGGAACCAGCCGGGGCGTTGTGACCCCGCTGTCCTTTGCAGCGGAACCGGGAGGCTGGGGGCGTCCCGGGGCGCGAGGCGCTCTGGAGCACCTTGCAGCTCCCAAGCCCCGGAGCCGCACCTGGGGTCCCAGCGCCGGAGCGCTGCTGGGCGGAGAGGCCCTTTCGGCGATCCCAGTCCTTCCCGCTCCAAGCCTCGCTGGAAAATCACCCGATGCGGTGAAAATCACCCCGTAAGCCGAGTTTCCTGGGGGACTGAATCACCCTCACTCTTTCCCCGCCTCCGCCCCCCCTCCCGTTCAGACTGTCGGCCCCCCAATAGCAAACTGACGACCTTGTCTACAAAACACCCCCGATCCCCATCCCACGGCCCAGGCCTCTTCTCAGAACCGGGCAGTGGAACCCTCCAGACATCCTTGCGTGGAGATTCTGCCTAATGTTTAATGTCTCAGGGGTCTGACAGTAACAGGAACATACCCATACAGGACTGAGAAGAAAGAAAAAAAAAAAAAGCGCCTTTCCCCTTAAAAACAGCAAAATAATAATACAACTAAAATCCTTAGCTTCGAAGACGAAGTCGGCTATCCTTTTATTTCGGATTCCCCTACTTTTTGCTTCTCAACGCAGTAACAGCCCCAGTATTTTGCTGGAGCTTGGGGGCTTGAGACAAGGGGGAAGGAGGGGTGTACCGTTTGCACAGAATTTGCTAGAATTGGGAATGGGGGTAGATAGAGGCGCCTGACTTCCCGGGCGGAGGCTTGTATACCCTCCCTGGGGCTGTATACCTGTTTCTCCTATACCTTTCCCCTAGCTCAGAACCGCTCCTGGGTTACAGTATACCGGTAAGAAGGCGTCCCCGCCCCATCCCCCTGCGGCGGGAACAAGGGTTCCCATAGAACCGGGACGAGAATGTTCTCCGCCCGTATTGTGCCTTTCCCGCCTCCCCTCCCCTCCCCCGGCTGCAGCTCCCGCCTCCCTCCCCCCGGCGCTGCACCCCAGTTGTTGGCTGCAGCCGCGAGCAGTTCCCGTCAGTCCCTCCCTCCTCCCCTTTCACAGGATGTCCATATTAGGACATCTGCGTCAGCAGGTTTCCACGGCCGGTCCCTGCGGCCGCGGGGGGAGCCGTCCCTGCAAGCCCCCCATCCTAGGGGGTGCTCTCAGGGACCCCAACGCCCAGATGGCTAAACAATAATAAAATAAGGAGACGCAACGAGGCCGGGGACCGGAAAGGGAGCTGCGCGAGCGGCGGGGGCACCGGGGAGGCGGCGGGGCCGGTCGGGCTCTGGCGCCACCCCTCCGGCGCGGCGGTGGTTGCGCCGTGACGTCATCGACTCATTCATAAAATCTCATAAATGCTGCGGCTCCTCGTACTCCAACCGCATCTGCAGCGAGCAGCCGAGGAGTGAACACAGAGCCAGCGGCGGCGGCGCAGCAAGAGAGCAAGTGACCGCGCTCCCCACCCAGCTCTGCCCCCAAAAGCTGCTGCCTGCCTCTGCCTCTGCCCCCCTAGCCCTTCGCTTTGACCCACCGCGACCATGATGTTCTCAGGCTTCAATGCGGACTACGAGGCGTCCTCGTCCCGCTGTAGCAGCGCCTCCCCGGCCGGGGACAGCCTCTCTTACTACCACTCGCCGGCCGACTCCTTCTCCAGCATGGGCTCTCCTGTCAACGCGCAGGTAAGGCTGGCCCCGCGCCACTGCGGGGACGGGGACGGGGACGGGGATGGGGATTCGGGGTCACCGGGGAGGAGACACCGGACGGGAAGCTCAGTAAGATGAGTAGGGGACTCCTTTTTGAATCGGGGACTCCTTTTTGGGCCGGGAAAGGGAGGCTGCCCCGGGCTGGAGCAGCCCTGTGTGGGGAGCCCCAGACTTGTTGGGAGCGCGCACTCGCGCTTTTCAAAGTTGGAACTGGCTCTGCTTTCCCGCGGCGGGCTCCTCCTGATCCGCCCTCGGCCCGCGCTCGCTGCCTGGTCTCTGATACCAGCTAGGGCACACTTGTCCCAAGCAAGGACAGGCTAGCCAGAGCCTGACTCCTCCAGGGAGGCGGCCAAAAGCGGCACCCCCACCCCCTTCCCTCCGCTCCCAGCCTGAAGCCGCGGCGGGAAGGAGGGCGCAGCAGGCGGGTGTGTAAGGCAGTTTCATTGATAAAAAAGCGAGTTCATTCAGGAGACTCCGGCGCGGCGCCTGCGTCAGCGCAGACGTCAGGGATATTTATAACAAACCCCCTTTCAAGCGAGTGATGCTGACGGGATAACGGGAACGCAGCAGCGGGATGTCGGAGGAAGGCACTGCGCTGCTGCCCCGGGATTCTTGGAGGAAAGGGAAAGACCTTTCATCCAGGATGAGGGGAATATAAAAAGGCGCAGTCCCCCGCAGGACCGTTTATTTCCCCCACCCCCCCACCCCTGCATGCGGCATTGGGACATTCACCTCACCTGCGTCCCCAACCTGCTCACTCGCTCACGGCAGCTTCTCCTCTCTGCTTTGTTCTAGGACTTTTGCACGGATCTGGCGTCCTCCAGTGCCAACTTCATCCCGACTGTGACTGCCATCTCCACCAGCCCGGACCTGCAGTGGCTGGTGCAGCCCGCTCTCGTCTCCTCGGTGGCTCCGTCCCAGAGCAGAGCCCACCACCCCTACGGGGTCCCCGCCCCCTCGGCGGGGGCTTACTCCAGGGCCGGGGTCATGAAGGCTGTGACAGGAGGCAGAGCTCAGAGCATTGGCAGGAGGGGCAAGGTGGAACAGGTGAGTTCTTCCACATCTCCGTGTTTGGGGGGTACGGGATGGGGGAGGGGGGTCCGCACTGGTGTAGACGGAGAGCACAGTGGGTAGGGTGAAGTCGATGAAGGAACTGACTACACATCCTGAACGGGGAACTCTGGCTCCAAGCCCATTCCATCTGGAGCCAGGCTCTGATAGACCCTACTAGTTCCTTCCCTAAGAGGTCTCCATCCCTTGCTTTCACACTGGGCTCTTCACGCTCTTGCCCAGTGTCTTATTTGAAATGCAAGTCACAGCCAGCCTGAAAGCGCAGGTTAGAAAGAAGTGGCTTCGCAGACGAGGTGTCAGAAAGGGGGCAGGCTGTGGGAGCCAGCTTCATTGGGGCAGGCGAATGGAGCTCCTGGCAGACGGTGTTACTGACCGTGGGTCCTTTTTCCTTCCAGTTGTCCCCAGAAGAAGAAGAGAAAAGGCGCATCCGAAGGGAAAGGAATAAGATGGCTGCAGCCAAATGCCGAAATCGCAGGAGGGAGCTGACGGACACACTCCAAGCGGTAGGTAGATGGCAATGGGCTGCTCCTTTTCAAAACTTTAAAGGGGAAAGTTGGGAGAACTGGGCATCAAGGGGGCAGTGTCCTTGAGCAAGACCGTGGTCTCATGCGTTGACTTTATCCCTCTGTGTACAGGAGACAGACCAACTAGAGGACGAGAAGTCTGCTTTGCAGACCGAGATTGCCAACCTGCTGAAGGAGAAGGAGAAACTAGAGTTCATCCTGGCAGCTCACCGGCCTGCCTGCAAGATCCCCCATGACCTGAGCTTCCCGGAAGAGATGTCTGGGGCTCCCCTGGATCTGAATGGAGGCCTGCCTGAGGCCGCCACCCCTGAGTCTGAGGAGGCCTTTGCCTTGCCCCTCCTCAATGACCCTGAACCCAAGCCTGCGGTGGAGCCCGTCAAAAACATGCAAAACATGAGCAGCGTGGAGCTGAAGGCTGAGCCTTTTGATGACTTCCTGTTCCCGGCATCGTCCAGGCCCAGCGGCTCGGAGACCTCCCGCTCTGTGCCAGACATGGACCTGTCTGGCTCCTTCTATGCAGCAGACTGGGAGCCCCTGCACGGTGGCTCCCTGGGGATGGGGCCCTTGGCCGCAGAGCTGGAGCCCCTGTGCACCCCAGTGGTCACCTGCACTCCCAGCTGCACTACCTACACGTCTTCCTTTGTCTTCACCTACCCCGAGGCTGACTCCTTCCCCAGCTGTGCGGCTGCCCACCGCAAGGGCAGCAGCAGCAACGAGCCCTCCTCTGATTCGCTCAGCTCGCCCACGCTGCTGGCCCTGTGAGCAGGCGAGGAAGGGGAGGCAGTGGGCACATGCCAGTGCCACTGTCCCGAGCTGGTGCGTTGCAGAGAGGAGAAACACATCTTTCCTCGAGGGTTCCCGTAGACCTAGGGAGGACCTTTTCTGTGTGTGACACACAGCGGGCTGTGGGCCTCAAAGGACTTGAAAGCATCCGTGGGTGGACTCAAAGTCTTTACCTCTTTCGGAGATGTAGCAAAAACGCATGGAGTGTGTATTGTTCCCAGTGACACATCTGAGAGCTGGTAGTTAGTAGCATGTGGAGCCAGGCCTGGGTCTGCGTCTCTTTTTTCTCTTTAGTCTTCTCATAGCATTAACTAATCTATTGGGTTCGTTATTGGAATTAACCTGGTGCTGGATATTCTCAAATTGTATCTAGTGCAGCTGATTTTAACAATAACTACTGTGTTCCTGGCAATAGTGTGTTCTGAGTAGCAATGACCAATATTAAACTAAGAAAAAGATATGACTTTATTTTCTGGTAGATAGAAGTAACTAGCTTATATCCATGTACTGTAGTTTTTCTTCAACATCAATGTTCATTGTAATGTTACTGATCATGCATTGTTGAGGTGGAATGATTGTTCTGACATTAACAGTTTTCCATGAAAACGTTTTATTGTGTTTTTAATTTATTTATTAAGATGGATTCTCAGATATTTATATTTTTATTTTATTTTTTTCTACCTTGAGGTCTTTTGACATGTGGAAAGTGAAATTTGAATGAAAAATTTAAGCATTGTTTGCTTATTGTTCAAAGACATTGTCAATAAAAGCATTTAAGTTGAATGCGACCAACCTCGTGCTCTTTTCATTTTGGAAGTTTGGTGAGATTCTGAAAGCTATCGGAGACCAGTTTGTCAAGAAGGGTAGCTTCTGGAGGGGGACATACCCCTTTGTTTGATCTCTTATCAAAGAGGAGAAGGAAACTGCAGAGCTGCTGCTGGAATATGTTATAAATACGAGGACACTACTACAATTCTCTACCTGTAATTCTGAGGGTGGGAACCGGCTCTGAGATAGCTTTTGTGAGTACATGTCTTCCTCCTTTTTCTATTTTGAAAGTCAAAGGGATGAATATTTAAATCTTGTTATGCCAATATTAAAGGTAAATGTCTTGATCTTAAAGGAATCCTTTTCACACATAAAATTCAGCTGTGTACAAACTATGTTGCCTTTTTAACATAACAACATCATGTGAAGGGTTACCTCCACTTTTAAGGTGAGCACATTGAAAAATGGTTAGAATGCATGACTTTTTCAATGTCTTACTATTGGGAATTGAATCTTCCTCACTCATTATCCTATCGACCAGGCTGAACTACCTCTTAATTTTTAAAATGTTTTTTTATTAATTTCAGAGAGAGGAAGGGAGAGGGAGAAAAGGATAGAAACATCAATGATGAGAATCACCTGCCTCCTGCATGCCCCCTACTGGATATTGAGCCTGCAATTGGGGCATGAGGCCTGACTGGGAATAAAACTGTGGCCTCCTGGTTCATGGGTCTATGCTCAACCACTGAGACACACAGGTTGGACTGAACTCTCTCTTAATACTTGGTTAAAAAAATTTTTTTTTCATTTAGTTAACCCCCCCCCTCATGCTCCCCCCCGACCTTTTCCATCCTTAACTCTAACATACTTTTATTCGGTTGGATTATTTTTCTTCTCAGAAAGAAAGGAGGTTGTTGGCCTACCCCTTAGTAATAAATACATTGTACTTTAAAAATTTCTTTAACATCATACGCCTGCCATTTAGTTTGCACTGGGGGAAGAAAAGTTGGCTCTGAGAATTTGAAAGCGACCTCAAACTGTACAAATAATGGTTGATCATTTGGTAAATAAAAAATTACATAACAGCTTAATGAGAAGTCAGCATGACTCTGAACAAGCTTTACCCTAGTCGTTTATCGTCTTAAAGAAGAACATGACCTTTGTCTGGGACACCCCTGGTAATGGGGCCCTTACACGCACAGGCACATATCACAGAGAAGGCAGGTGGTGCCCTCCCTCCCCTGGGCTCCGGTGTCCTGGCGGCACGGGCTTGGAAGCCAGAGACCGTGTTTGCATACACGCTGGGTGCAATGCAGCTTTGGTGCCAGCCTTCTAATGCTTTGGTGATAATGAAAATCACTGGGTGATTACGGGTGTCACCCTCCGTCAAACTGAAAGTTTTAATTTAAAATGACAGTTCCATTGAGGCTGATGCTCTTACCTGTAATCTCCCTGCTTTTTACATTATAATTGGCATTTTAAAGCAACTTACTTTAGGCTCTTAAGAGCACTGATATATCTATCACACACCACTTGCATAATATGTTTTCCTGTCTGGTAGTAATATAGACTCCCTGTTTGCTGCTCAGAGGGTAGATTTTCTGTAGCCTTTAAATATGACCTAATCTAAATACAGGATCGCTATATTATAACTAACACCCAGTTCTGAAATAACAAGGTGATATACCCTGTAAGGACACCAGCTGGCTCCCTCACATGTACAATAATAACAACCCATGGAAGATTCCCCAAGTGGATAAAGGAGGCTGGACCTCTAGCGCTGCACACTGACCTGCTCCCGGGGACCTGACTAATGGCCTCTGGAAGCCTCATGCTGACTATAAAGAGAGACCATTGCTTTCCATTTGACAGCCTTGACCTAGGCCTGGACACTGACCCTTCTTCTGGTTACTATAGCCCAGCTGAGACCAGGTTGCTGCATCAACAAGACTGCATTAAAAGTCCGGGAGGCTGAAACTAGTTTGGCTCAGTGGTAGAGCATCGGTCTGCGGACTGAAAGGTCCCAGGTTTGATTCCGGTCAAGGGCATGTACCTTGGTTGCGGGCACATCCCTGGTAGGGGGTGTGTAGGAAGCAGCTGGTCGATGTTTCTCTCTCATCAACGTTTCTAGCTCTCTATCCCTCTTCCTTTCTCTCTGTAGAAAATCAATTAAAAAAAATAAAAGCCCAGGGAGATCACCTGCACACAGTCTCTGTTACAGACTTCTCAGAGGCCTATTATAGGGTCCCCCATCGGGTTGACATTCCACCAAGCTCCCTGCCAACCCTCCTCATGGGATCAAGAGAAGAAAGGAATCCCCTCTCTTCGGCCAAAGGGTTCCTTCCAAATCTCCCTTTCCCGAGACACGATTCAAGAACTTGCATGGGTGATAAGACACTGGGAATGTCAACTTCCTTTTGGGAAAGACTCCGCTCCCTACCCACAAGATATGGCCTTACACCAGTCTCAAAAATACAACTATTCCAGGGCACCATCATTCAATGCTGATACAAAATAGATAAGTACATTAGCAGGGACGGGAATAGGATTGGAAGGGGTCATTTCCTTCTAAGGAGAAGGTCTAGTTTAGTGCCTGGCACAAAATACAGGATTAATGACTATCTGCCAGGTGGAGGAATGTATAAATTCTGCACTATTTCTACAAACAAATATATTCCTCAGATCGTCTCTAAATTCTCCTATTCCAGGCCCTATAATGATATTAAGCTTTGGGGATTTCACATCTTTTATGTCGGGCTTCAGACACATACCCCACTTCTATCTTAACTCCTGGAATTCCTTAACTGCCTCCCCTGGGTTATTTCTGCCAGTTCACCTCAAAGAGAATGCACAGCCATTGTGCTTCCAGCTCCATTAATTTTAGATGGAAAAAGGAGAGAAGAAACAAAACATTTATCTCTATATAGTAGTGGATGGCAGTGTTTACATCGTTTTGCATATCTCTGCATCTTATGTAATTATCAAAATTAAAGGGTAGCATTTAACAATTTGTTTTAATAACAGCAATTTTGTATCAACAGCAACTTTCCATGTGTGAGTGAAAGTAAACCAACTAGGCTATCTTTAATTAGTAGATAAAGAAGAGACAGTGGCTAAGGAAAAGTTTTCAGATGATTACTCTAAGGAAACCATCTGAAGTTTCAATGTATTTCAAACCAAAATAAATCTAAAGCAAAACAAAACAAAAAATCAATCCTTAACTGTTTGAGACTTCCCCCAAACACAGAATAATCAAATTCCTAAAAACAAAACAAAACAAAAAAAAAACCCACAAAGGAGATATAAACATCATTTGAATGCTAAATATAAGAGGACTTTAAGCTGTGCAGTTTTGCCATAAACATTAAAGAGCCAATTCTTTGTTTTTTAAAGATATTTTTATTGATTTCAGAGAGAAAGGGAGGGGAAGAGAGATATAAAAACAACAATGATGAGAGAAAATCATTGTCTGCTGCCTCCTGCACACCCCACACAGGGGATCAAGTCTCTAGTCTGCAACCACGGGCATGTGCCCTGACCAGGAATCAAACTATGACCTCCTGGTTCACAGGTCGATGCTCAATTACTGAGCCACACCAGCTGGGCAAGAAGCCAATTCTTGACTCCTCTCTAACTCCATCTCCCATCCTTCTCCCCTATAAGCACTCTGCTCACGGCCTTCCTTCCATCCCTGACACATACTTGTTCCTGTTGCAGGGCCTTTGCACTTTCTGTCCCTCTGCCTGGGCCTCTTTTCCTGGGGTTAGCTCCTCTCTGTCATCCAGGACTCAGCTCAAAGGACATCCCTTCCAAGAGGACTAACCATGTCACTCTACCTAGAATAACTCCCAGGTCATTCTATCCAGAGTAACTGGAGTACACACATAGTCTCCGTGACTCTCTATCCCACTATCCTTCTTTGTTTTTTCACAGCCCATATCAGATCTATAACACTTAATTTTATGTTTTCTTTTCCTTTCGAAACAAATTTTAAACAAAGAATGGATGTGTATTTAAATATAGGTATGTTCGTCTTCAAGAAACAAACAAACAAGTTTTTCACTCTTACTGATATAAAATTTTCAGACCACACTCATTTGGGTTCACTTTTAGCAACTTGGTGTGTGAGATTATAAAACTTACAATGTAGTGTGCAAGACAATAGAATGATAAAGGTTAGCTGCTATCAGTATCAGTATCAATATCATCAC